ATCTGGCGGAGTCAGGTTAATTGGTTAATGTCACGCCAAATAAAACGGGTTCACCTGTTTTTAAAACTGCTGGGTGATTTTCAAAAATTAACAGACTTCACGCATAATAATAAAAATCTGGCATAGATCGGTTTTGTTTAGTCCGTTTTTTCCAACCACATCTCAAGCACGGCACATCGCACATATGAGTCGATTTTGATGCGCTCCCCTCGCAGTGAGCAAAGAGTCTACACTCAGATGCACTCAGAAGAATGCGTTTGCTTTATTTAAAAACGTGCACCTCAAAACATCTTCCCTGCAGTCAGTTCAATCTGTAGGACAATAAGCGTATCCAGCTTTTTTTTGTTATTTTTTTGTTTGTTTTTTAGGTAAAAATCTGAATTCTGAGGAAAAAGTCAGAAGTCTGACTTTTTCCCATAATTACGGAAATAATATTTTAAAAACCATGTTCCTTTTTTTTTTTTTTTTTTTTTTTCCAGTGGCCCTAATCCTCTTCCGTAGGTTTGCGATAGCTCGCTAACTTCACTTACTGTTTAATGATGACTTTACGCTTTGCACCCCTTGTCATTTTTCTCCAAACCACTGGATTAAAAGATGTATAATTTGCATTTTGTTGTATTTTCAGCATTAACAAGTTTTCATCAATTTTCATCAAATTTGTATGGACACATCTAAGCTAGCCAAATTATTTGCAGATTTCCTGCTGTTGTTGGTAGCAGCTGAAAGTGAACATACAGAGGTGTTTTATGGAAGCAAATCGTTACCATATTTCAAATGAAAAAGCATTTTCAGAAATGCTTTTTCATTTTAAGAATGTGGCTGCATTGTTTGACTCATAAATTAAATTAGTAATCAATCATCCTGTTTGCATTTTCATTTTCTTCTTCAACACCGCTCATCCTTTTTCTTAATTACAATGAAAATATCACAGTCTTGGTTTTGTTATGTTTATTTAGAGTATTCAGTTTAACTTTGCTCCTTGTTTTGGTGTTTAATTATTATTTTGTTGTTTTCTTGTTAGTTGTTGTCTTCCAGGTTTTCCATTTGTTGTCCTCTGCTGCCCTCTTGTGTCCTCTATCCCTAGCTCTGTTTTCTG